AAGGTACGTACACTTAAATGTGTTTCTGAACATACTACTAACAACTAAACTGTATATCCAATGCATAAATCTGGATACGCAAAACTGGATTGAGAATTACCAAGCTGTCAACATCATTTAGGAGCAATGATAAACCAGTATATTTAATATATTAGACTACATTATATATATTACGAGTTTCATACTTATTTTGTATATTCTTGGAAAAGGTACACTTAAATGTGTTTCTGAACATACTACTAACAACTAAACTGTATATCCAATGCATAAATCTGGATACGCAAAACTGGATTGAGAATTACCAAGCTGTCAACATCATTTAGGAGCAATGATAAACCAGTACGTATATTTAAAAACAGTAAGTATATTAGTCTATTATAACCACCTTTCTACAAGACGGTTGCTACAATATGGATTGAAGACTTTACTAGGATGTTACCAAGTAACAATTACGCTCTAATAACACTAAGTAATTAGTGTAAATAGCACCTGCGCTTCACCTGTCTTGCTAATATCCCATTACATGAAAAGCAACGATGTTTACTGCAGTCACGAATGAGCTCTGAAATATAGCCTGGAATCTGTCATCACACACAGCACTTATCTGCATGAGCCTTGTCCTAATATTTATTATTAGATATTATTTCGAACAGTTTAAACAGAATGAATATCCATAACTCTTTATACACTGACCGAAGATTATTAATAAACTACAAGGTTAACAATCAGATGCCGACAGAGACCCCCCAAAATTGCACTTTGCAAAGTTTCCTACCTTAAACCAATATTTGTCGGCCAACTTGCTCTTCACAACTGGGAATATGACAAACTGGAGACTGTCCGTGGTGATATTTGTAACTTAATTCAGAGGGAATCAAATGTAAGAGATGCTATTTATTTTCTACAGCATGAAGTGAGGAAAGTAAATAAAATTATATTTTATTTAGGCCTAGATTTGTAAAAAATCAAATAGCAAATACAAGTTTATCAGTAACTACAAGTCAAATGTTGGTCCTAATCCAGCTACAGCTGAATGACAGCTTAATTTCTGCTAAATTTGCATGGCTGTTTCTTTTTTTTTTTGCATATTTATTTATTTAGTCTTCTTCTTATATTCTAATGTTAATGTTAATTTGATGCTTTTACATTAAATGGTCTATTGTCTATATAATAGCCTATTAAAAAGAAAAAAAAAAGAAAAT